GGAAGGCAGGCCTGGGCTGGCACGTGGGACTGGAGTGGCCTGCGGGCTAATGGGGAGAGGAGGTGATGGCGAGAAGCAGCAGCAAGAAGCCGCAGTAACCAATTACTTATATTTACATTCATTCCTATGGGCAAATGGGTTTTGCTTAGCATGGTTTCACTTACCGCTTGGTTTTTCTGGAACCAATTAAGAGTGCTAAGCAGGGGTTGCCTATATGTGATTAGAAACTGGTTCAAATTTGTAACACAACAGAATTACAGTGCACATAAACTGCTTAAGATAAAGTTATAAACTGTTTAAGATAAAGATAAATTGTTTAAGATAAACCTGGATGGATGTAGTATCAGACAACTGATTTATTAATAAAAGTGATGGTTTATTGAACTTCTGTCCCAGATCCCATCCAGATTCAAGTTAATTCACAGTCCCTCAGCATCCCAGGATGCTTTGCACCTCCTCTGCAGATCCCCCTCTCCCCGTACACGGTGGATGGGCTAGCTTTGGCCCAAGTTGTCTGCTCCAGCAGAGCAAGGAGGCATGCTCTAGCACCCCCCAGCTTCTGATGTGAGCCACTGCAGGCATGTGGCTGCATTTCTAGAATCAAAAGTGAATGTCTGTTCACTTGTTTATTGGTTCAATCTATGCAGTTTAAACTAACCTGAGAAGATTGAATTGATTCAGCCTCAGGCTTTTTGACTGTCTGTATTTAGCCCAAGTGGTAAAGTTATACCAAATAGGTCAGATGAGTGTAATTTTGTTTTGAATGAACAAATTTTCCTAATCAGTAACCTTAAAACAGTTTGTAATGCCTTCTACTGTCTGTCATGCTACAGCTCAGCCACACACCAGGGATTAAAAATTAGCAAAATCTTTAATTCTTGACGTCATAATTATGGTTCAAGTTATTCTGTAAATGTCACTGTAGCAATTCCAGAGTACCATAAATGCCTTCCTATAAAAATAGCATATTTGAAATTTAAAATCAGTTTAATTTCTATGCTTCTTTAAAAGTCAGTATCTCATGATATCTCAAGGACATGTTTCCAAACCATAGGGCTTTTTACATAGTCACTGCCTAAATTACCACAGATGTCTAAAAGATAAAATTAACAGGATCCTCTCTCACAAGAGGGTGAGCATGAATCAGGAGATTCTTGCCTCTTTGTTGGATCCAACCTTCATTGACATAAACAGGGAAGTAATGAACTGAAACTTTTCTAACCCATAAGGTTTGCAAAATAGATGGTTTCTATATTTTCTTTTACGCGTTATCCCAAATGTTCATTGTTTCTCTCATAAAAGGGGGAAATATGCTGAATTTAATAAAGGTGATAATGTAGCATAGATTTTGTTTTAGAAGATGACCATATAAGGACAACTATGAAACGTTAAATAATAATATTAGATGCTGCCATCTTCTAATAAGGACCCTCTGTGGGGAAATCATTGAGAAGTTCTGCTTATAAATAGATGGTATGATATGACTCATTAATAGAAATACCTATCTTTTCCTTAAGTTAATGGAGCGTTGAGTTAAATGTTGAGTGAATTCTCTCCCTGAACCAAACTGGGTGTGACAACTGAATAAAGTTACAGAGCTAAATCTATTGTTGTTGTTTAAGGCTCACACCGGGCATGTCTACACAGCTTTTGTGCCAAACCTGAGAAGCCACTGAGAAGCACACCCCATTCACATGGTTCTGCTCCATGTATGTCAAGTCCCAGAACTGAGGCCATGAACCTTTTTTAGACTGGCACTCTTTGTTTTTACCTCCAACCCCATCCTCAAGTTTCCTTTTGATCGGGTTTAGTGGTACATATTCAGGGCTGTTCTAAGGCAGCTACACTGCCTCATTTCCAGGATTTGGCACACCTGGATCAGGAGGGAGTGTGTATGGCATACTGTGTAGTAGTGATCCAGGGCTCAGCATGGCACAGAACAAGCTCATTCAATGCTTATGAATGGAACCAAATAACAGAAACATGTACCAATACTAACTGAAGTTTTGTGATGTATGTTTCCAGCAATAGCTTTCCACCTATACTGTGCCTAGGAATTTCAGTTGCGACTTGGATTGGTATCAATTGTTCAGACTTATAAATGGCATAGGAGACTACCTCAGTCTCTTTGATTGAAGATCTCTGCTAGGAAGATAGGGCCCAAAACAAAACAAACGTACATTTCTACCTTCAGATTACAATTCTGTTGATGTGGGGAGCTGGTAAACACAAAATGGATGGTAAATTTTACTGGACATACACTGGATTAAAATTTATATGTAGGAACAATTTATAATCCTCATTCATTTTTTGAGGGGCAAGTAAATGACATTGCATGCCAGTGGTAGCCTATGAGAAAGAAGACAAGTTTAAGGCTTCTCACTCATACTGAGTTCACAGCCTCCAATTCATTAATCTGAACAGCCCAATCTTAAATTAGTATTCTGATCAGCCCTCAACAAAGGGTTCAAAATGTTAAACAGCCACTGAATGGACTAGCTCCAGCTGAGTGGAATGATTTGACTAATGTGATAGATCACTCTGGAGATAGATTTATCTTCACCTAATGGAGTTGAAATGGAGAAAACAGCAGGGAAGATAATACATGAAAGATCTACAGATTTTATCATCATACTTCTGAATTTCTGAAATGGGGGAGGGATACAATAGCTGAATGCATTAATGACCAACATGGATTGTCCACAGGCTAAATATTTCAGCTGTGCAGATTTGGCAGTTCAGAACAGCAATACACATTTTTGTCTTTGAGAGTTGAATTTGCAGGCTCTGACCCACATAAAGGTTTGCATCTGAATGAACCTGCTGCAGAATAACTGGTAATTTTCAGGCCAGACACATTCTCCAGTGCTGGGCAATCTACAAAGGATTGATCAAGTGAGTTTTAGGATTGTTCTCACTACTGCTTTTGGGGCTGGTGATCTGGCCAGTGACAGAAAGTTTTTTCATCAGCCTTCAAAATGGTCCAAACTTGTTTTTCCAAAATAAAAAAAAACACTTTTCACTGTCTCCTGCACTGTGTCCTATTTACTAGGAGATTCTTCCCCTCTACCCCTCTCTGTGTCTTTTTCACTAGAAGACCGCCCCCCCTCAAAATTTTAAGCTTCCTATTTACCCCCTTTAAAAGCCTACCTGTGCTTGACATTTACAAACCACTTCTCTCTGGTATTGACTAGGGAAGGGCTGTAGCCATGTCTTCTGCTTTTTTCTATTTGCTTCATCACCTCATCATCCCAACTTGCCTCTCTGCCTTTTATTTCATTCACCTGTTGTATCCTGCCTAATGGAAGCACCCTGAGACATGGACTTGAGTTCTCCAATTTAGTTCTGATCCGCTGTGTGTAAATATCCTGTCAGAGCTTTACTTTTACTGGCTTGGGCAGTATCTCTGACTCTCACAGTATATTATCTTGCTGGCCTGTCCACTGCATTTACTTAAATATCCAATTACCTGTTACTCAGATATCCAGTTAACTGTATTTTTTGTTGTCATGCATTAAAATAAAATGCTGGAAATGGAGGGAAGAGGGCTTGAAATCTAGGGTATGCTGAAAACTAAAAGCTTTATGTCAGAAGCCAGCTAGTATCACATTGTTTACAAACACCAGGTACTTGAGTGCAAGGAAATTAATAGGTAAGGTTATAATTTGATACTAGCCAAATCGCGAAGTAATTTTCAGACTCTTATTTTCTGTTTCACAGCAAGCAGAGAGGAGAGGAAAAGAGTATAGCCCAATCTGCAGTCTGTGACTGGTTTTAATTAGATGTGCTGAAATTAAATAGTGTTCCTCTACTTCTCAATTAAAGAAGGAATAATCCATTAAAAATATACAAGAATGTTAGGGCAAAAAATAACTTTTGTTCCAATGGCTGTTCACATAGGTCTTTAAAGTATAAATGTATGCTTAGTCTGTAGAAAGCTTTATCAGACAAAAAAATCCAAAAATTATAGGGGGGTTTTTGTAAGTCCTTTTGGCAATGTATGGCCACTAGGTGTCAATCCTTACCCATGTGTAAAGCAGTTTAACAATATTTTTCTCAAGCAAATAGGTAGCAAAGGTCAAGAAGCTTCCAGGAACCACCAAGTAAGAATGCGCAGAATGAAGAATTAGTAAATGCTAGAACAAACAGAAACCAATCCCCTACATTATAAGACCCTCCTCCTTCTACACCTGGCAAGTTCAGATCCATATATTGCAAGCTGGAGCCATTGCTAATTAATTAATTAAACCAACCCTTTATTCTTTGTATTTCAGTAACTTGTAGTGGGTTGTAGCTCCATTTTACAGTTATTATGTACACACACATATCTGATGTAAGACTTACAGTGTAAATGGATGACTCTGGGCAGATCCAGATGAAAAACAGTTTTCTTGTCCTAGCAAAATTTTTGAGAATTCAGAAATCCCCCTGTCATGAATCATGACAAAAATCACAATCTCAAAAGATTTGCTGCAGTTAATCAAGGTCCAGGCTTACTCCAGATTCACATGACAAGTCTTACTCTAGTGCTTCCTCATACAAATAGCAGAAGTGCTTGTTTGAGTAAATGGTATAGCCACGTGAATAATACAGAGCCATGACTAGAAGGAAAATAAAAAATTATAGACTGTTGCTGAATTATTTCTTTCCATTGTGCTGTATTTTCCATGCATGAGCAAGGGCAGTATGAAACATGAAGTGGCCACACAGTGCCAATTTCTGTTCTTGCTGGGGTTCTCACCCATCTCTTTTCAGAAAAGGGGGGGTGTCATTTGAATTTGGGAATTGTCTTTTCAAATGCAATTCACAGATGCCAATGCATCTTTATTTAGAAAAAATATTGCATAATTACTGTATCTTGTACTTACTTGTAGGTTCAGAGCCGTAACTGCTGACTTCAGTAAACTTTTGCTGCTTTTCATGCCAGTTAACACCGCAGGGCTATCATAATTGAAAGAGAATGAGATGTAGATTGTATTTTGTCTGGTGTCTCATCCACTAGTTTATGAATTCCACTAACCTACCAAATTCCAGGCAGTCACACCTGTGTAACTACTAAGACAACAGAGTCCCTAGATGCCACTAGGGGCATAATTTGAATTCAATGGGGATGTACATGTGTAGCCAAGTTCCTGATTTTCCTACAGAACCTTTATTACTGGTGATGGTTCAGGAGATGGAAAGAATCCAGCTTGACTTGTTGGAACCCTGGCTAAGTTGGCAGGGACAGTTGTTTAGAGAAAACACTCCCTCTTTCAAAATGAATATATTTCATATGGAAAGCATTGTAAAACAATGAACACAGAACCCTGGAATGCTATGCAGAGATTCTTTTTCAGAGTAGAACTAGACTTTAAACAACTACTGAAGCATGGGTGACTGGTGCCACCTTAGTTAGGGGGGCATGTGCCCCTACCCCCCCCCCCCAGGGCCCAGTCCGCGCCCCTGGGGAGGGGGGGGGGTGTCCAGACCACTTCTGGGAGTGCTGCGGCGCTCCCACTCCCCAGCTGGCACTCGCAGGGTGGCACTGGCGCTCCCGCCTGCCCCCCCACCCCTCGCCTGTCACCTGAGCGGCAAGCATGGCCAGTCAGGGGGTGCACCAGCGCTCTCAGGGGGTGCATGTGCACCCCTGTGCACCCCCTACTCATTGCCACCGTACGAAGGGAACTAGAAAATATAAGTTGCTTAGCAGAGATGGTTTCCTAAAGTGCAAAGCAGAATTGGTACTTAATATGTTTGGAAAGAATGTGCAGTGCTAAGTCTGTTAAAAGAGAAGACTTTCTAATAAAGGTAGTTTCTTGTCCAGGTTTCACTGTATTTAGTTGGTAAACCTCATCCTCATACAGCCCCTCCTTCTGTAGCCTAATAGTCCTGTGCACCTTAAAAACCAGTTTGAATGGAAAATTCCAGAACAAGAAATCCTTCAAATACTGGACTATGTTAAGTATGGTTTAAATAGAGGCTAAATATTCCTATCCTATTACCTAGATTATCTTTTATGACCTTAGTCCTATGGGTTCTTTGCTTGTATGCCTGGCACAACACTTCGCACCCCCCCAACCTTACCCTCCCTTCTGCTTTCCCATCTATTGTATTCTAATCACTCACTCCACTTGATACTCTATGCTGTCCTTTCACAGCATCTGATGAAGTGAACTTGGGTTCACAAAGCTAGTGCTTTCTCTCTCTCTTTCTCTTTCTGTGTGTGTGTGTGTGTGTGTGTGTGTGTGTGTGTGTGTGTGTGTGTATATATATATATAATTTAGTTAGGTTATAAAAGTGCATAGCTACCCTGCCTTCTGACAGACTTCAGATAACCTCTCTGGATGTACACTGCCAGGAGTGCTTGCTGCCAGTTTCCAGAGGAGCATAGCAGCTTCCCCATCTATCATATCAGAGGGGTGCCACAACTATGAGGGTTCTTTGCCTAGCCAAAGAATTTTGCACAGCACCTGCTGGGATCCCATTGCCTGCTCTATTTATAGCAGAGACATTTTACATATTTTGCACATGTTCTTTAACAAAGAGCAAAGGTAGTTTAGAAATATTGCATATAAAGACTCAATGCCACTGCAGACAAAGAAAATAAGACTGTCAGGTGTAAGCAGAGAGGAAGAATGAGGAGCAGCGAGGTCTTTGTTTTTTTCCCTTTGTTAAATCATAACAAAAGAATTCCAGGGAAGTCATGAGATACAATCTGAATAAGGCCCCTAAAGTATAGGTAATGTGTAAATAAGCTCTGACAAAAGTCTGATTGTATCCATGTTCATGTTGAATTACTGACAACCTGTATTTTGCTGCTAATAAAAGTGTGTTACATTCCGATTCCTTCTAATGAAAAATTAAAGACAGCAACAGGCAATAAAAGGCCAACAATAACAATAAAATAGAGGTCCCTGGAGCTACAAGCTCACATTGGGAGTGTACCCACTAGACTGCCATTGGAGAGGATAGTGCAGCCAGCTGCAACTTCTGTCTTGCCAGTTCTGCTGAGTGGTCAAGAAAAGGAGGGTATTAGCAACCTTGCCTCCTGTCCATTCCCTTGAAACCGGTGTGCGCCTTGGAGCTCATTACATTCAGAGGCAGCAGAAATTACAATTGTGGCTCCTGCATATACAGCAGGGATAATGGAAAGAAAGCAATGAAAATTAGTATTTTCAAAACATTTAAAGAAAATGTAACAAATATTGATTAATATAGGACTAAAAGTAAAGGTAATCTTTCCATCTGTCTCATGAACCAACTAGAGTTGTTCTCTCACTACAGGGTCGGGAATCTATGACAGCTTCTCTAAATGGCTGTTTTGGTAATGTGGCTTTTCTAAGTTACCTCTTGAGCCACCATATTTAACACCTTATGGATGATTATTTTTTATTGCATTTTACAGCTGTTGTTTGGAGATGCTTGCAAAATAGCAAGGGTCGGTCCCACCTTGTTCTGTATTCCTTGTCTTTTGTTGTTGAAAGCATTGGGGTTTTAATTTAAAGTATTCCTGGTGAATATAACCAGATACATAGGCTGAAGACCAAGGGCCTCTCTTTTCATCAACAGAACAAAGTGCAGCATCGCCATCTTTCTTCATGCTGCCTGATCCATGTGACTAAATGTTGACCTTCAGGTCTCACTTCTAAGGTTATGGTAGCAGCTTAGTCTCCATACTGTCCTTACCCCCTCCCCCTTTGAGACTGCAACCGATTGTTATAGTGTGTATATGCCTACTTAGGCTAAAACATTAACTTTTAACTGCTTTAAAAGTAGAGGGGAGTTGTTGCTTGGGAGCAGACACCAGCTGTTACACTAACTGTTAGGTCTGCATGATGAATGAAATAGGGTTAAAATTGCAATGGTTTGGCTATACTTTCAAAACTACAAGAGCATGCAAACATAGCAGTTACAATAGGGCTGTCCAGCTGGTGGCCCATGAGGGATCAGTTTGCAGCCCCCAGGCTCCAGCACAACTCCACCAACTACTTTTGCATAGATGGGAGGAGCTAGGCTGCTTGCCTGTGTCTGGGAGGGGGAGCTGGGCTGCACATAGTGAGGGGTGGAGGGACCTGAACTGTGCTTGCAGATGGCAGTGGAGAGCTGGCTTGCACAAGTAGTGGGGAGGAAGCTAGGCTGCTCCTGGTGGGGAGGGGAGGTTCTGGGGAGGGGGGAGAGTCCCCAAGGCACTCAGCTCCCCAGGTGTGCAGCCCCCAGATCTCCATCAGGTGTTGC